AAAAAAAAAAATAAAAAAATAAAATTTTTTTCTAGAGAAGTAAAATCAGCTGAACCCCCTTGTTTTGGAGTTATCATCCCGATGGTAAGACAAAATGTTAACTGCAAATAACTTGTTGTGGTATTTTGCAGTTAATTCTAGATGATAGAAATTTTTTCTTTTTCCAATTAGTAATTCCATGTGTTTTTCCATATGGAATTACTTATGGCATCACCAAGCTAAAACCCTTTATGTAATGCCATATGGCTTTCCTGAAAGTTTTACAGAAGTAATTCTACATAGAATTCCGACATTTTTTTTCGGGTGGGAAGACAAGGCTTGTCTGACAAGCGTTAAATTTCACACAACCCAGGGTGCTCACTAATACTGGTCGAGTTTCGGGTACAAGATACATTCTAATCTTACCGCAAATGGTACTTCCATGTGACAACTTTTTATTTTCTATCTACTGGTGTAAGTTGCGGCTGTTAAATAAAAAGACCACACGGCACTACTGTAATTCCCACATAAACATAACTCTTTGCCACTATAAAGTATGACCAAAATATTTTGGATCTTGACGTATCATAAAGTTTCTCAATTCTGGTGAAAGTGGCGGCTGGTTAAAATTTTGACCACCCTTTAGCCTCAGCTCTTGGTCTAGTCTCTGTTTGGGTCGAAGGTTAGGTATACGCCAGTTTGTGGCTGAGAATGTAGAAACATCTATACTCTCTGTTTGTGGTCACGAAAAAGCGTAAAATTCGAAGTTTTCAACACAAACAATACTAAGTACCTAAGCAGACAAAAAATAGGGACGTGCAGCAGCATCAGTAGCGGATCGTTTGGTTATTAATGTCTGAGTTAAATGGCAAAGACGCTATCCGAGGGCCCAACGGCCTTTATTTCTAGCGAGCCAGAGAGTCTTGGATTCGACCTAACTTCCGGTTTAAAATGGATCTACCCAGAGAATTATCCGCGCCGAGAATACCAGTTCTCCATTGTCCAGACTGCTCTTTTCAACAATACACTCGTCTGCCTGCCAACAGGTTTGTACCATTACATGTTACCTGCCCACTTAAGACGTTAAGAGTCTTCATGCCTTGTATTCATTCTTACTGACAGGCTTGGGCAAGACCTTCATTGCAGCTGTGGTTATGTACAATTTCTGGAGATGGTTCCCCAGAGGCAAGGTTGTCTTTTTAGCCCCTACCAAGCCACTCGTTGCTCAGCAGATTCAGGCCTGTCACGAAATTATGGGCATACCCCACGACCAAACAATTGAGCTCACTGGTTGGTCTGATGCTCTCTACTTCTACTTTTTTATTATGATGAGTGAGAATAACTTACTAATATTGTATATGTTATCTTGTTCTCATCTTTAATTAGGAGCTACTGTTCAGGTCAAGCGCAGACTAGCCTGGACCCAGAAAAGAGTAATTTTTGCTACACCACAGACTTTTCAGAAAGATCTGCAACACGACTGTGTGCCTTGCGAGTTGATAAAATGCATTGTTATTGATGAAGCTCATAAGGCTCTGGGAAAACATTCCTATTGCGAGGTAGATATGAAACTTTAACTGAGGTTCTTATGACTCTCTAAAAGCAATAAAATTTGTTTCTTTTAGATTGTGCAGTTGTTAAATAAACAAAACAAGTTTTTTCGCGTGCTAGCCCTGTCTGCAACTCCCGGAAGTAAAATAGACCATGTTAGAGAAGTGAGTTTGTTGATTAAAAATCAGTTATCAAAGAAATTACGATGATTCACTATTCTCATTGCAGATAATTCAAAATCTACTCATCTCTGAGCTGGAGCTAAGAGATGACTCTTCCCCTGATATTATACCTTATACCAATGTCAGATCGATAGAGAAAGTAATTGTTCACCTAGGCAAGGACCTTAATGAGTTTAAAGAGAGGTACATAAGGATAATGGACCCTCATGTTCGAATTCTGATTACTAATCATATTCTTCAAGGCTGCACGGCAACTATATCGAAAGGACGGGTAAATACTTGTTTTCTATTTTCAATTCGTTAATTAGTGTTTAGTATCGTATGTAAATAATTGTATCTGATACATAGATATTCATGTTAATGAAGCAGTACGATAATAGGCCTCATAAAGCAAAAAATCACGGCACAATTATTAAAACACTTACCATATTACTCACAATGTACCATGCATATGAACTTCTGATTAAGAATGGACTTCGGGCATTTTACAATTTTTATTTGAGTACGTAAAATTGTTTTTTTTTTTTTCCACATGTTAATTTGCTGGCAATTGATTTTTTATCGTTTGTAAGATCATGCAGACAAATTCTGGCTTACTACGGAACTGGATTTACGGTTACTGCTTGAAGACGTTAAAAAGTACATAGGCGATTTTCCAAAAATAAAACCTTTACCTGACGGTAGCATTCCTAAAGTCAGTACAATGAATTTGAATTGATGTTTAATGAAACAAAACTCAATATTAATCCAAAAATGACTTTTATCTGTAGGTACAAAATGATTTAGTTTTTGGACACAATAAATTTGACACACTGCAACAATTGTTAGAAGAACACTTCAGAACGTTTGCTAGTCAAAACCGGAGTACAAGAGCGATTGTTTTTGTTGAAGTATGTAATATCTTATTGTCTATCAGTAAATATAAGCGATACACATGAATGTGTAACGGAAATTATTTTGTTACAGTATCGGGATATTGTTAATGAAGTGTACGTACTCTTATTACAAAAAAGACCTCTTATCAGGCCTCAGATATTTGTTGGACAAGCCGGTCAAAAACAAAAAGAACAATTGTCTGCCATAGAGAATTTTCGTAACAACAAAGTGAACGTCTTGATCTCTACGTCAGTTGGTAATGTAACGAGAATTTTTTAAGAGCAGTTTTGCAAGATAATTAAGGGCAACCAAACGTTTTGCTTGAATTTTTAGGAGAAGAAGGTTTGGACGTAGGTGAGGTTGACTTAATTATTTGCTTTGATATTTCCTCAAGCACACCTATCAGGCTTGTACAAAGAATGGGACGGACTGGCAGAAAGCGCAGTGGACGTGTGGTCCTGCTATTAACAGAAGGAAAAGAATTTCAGGTGTAGTTTGATAAATAATTCATTTTGCCCTGTTTTTAAAATCATTTTTGATGTTCAGTAAACATTTGTTTTTGGATTAGACTTTAAATCAGGCGTTGTCAAAGAAAGACACAATAAATGCTAAAATTCTACAGTCAAGTAATATCGCCTCATCGTTGTATCAATCAAGTCCTCGAATGGTACCAGTCAACATGAATCCTGAGTGCCATGAGATGTTTATCAAAATTTTACCTAAGATACCAAAGGTTAAGTCCACTTCGATGAAGCCTGCTAAACAAACTGCAGTGCCTAGCGAAAAAAACCGTAAAAAGAAGAACAAAACAGATGCCACTCTGGGAAGCCAGTCTGCTGAGTCTCAATCATCGACATTTAAGACTAGCCTAGGTCTTAGGAAAAATGGAGGTGGTCAGGTACTGTGTAAATATATGTGCGCAAGTCGATTCATAGCATTAAATGATTTAGTAGATATTTTTTAAAGCATGAACTTTGCTGATTGCAGCAGTACCCTAACCGATTTTAAACATTTTTTATTTTAATCACTACTTAGACGTTCATCTTCCTTACATTTCTTGTTTCATTTTGTTTGAACTATCTTACGTAATTATACCGGTTCTATACCAATTGACACTCCACATTTTTATGTTTCTCTAGTTAAATCGCTTTAGAGTCGCAATATTAAGTTTTCTTAAATATTTTCTTGTATTTCCTTTTCCAAACGCACATATTTTAATTAATTAACAGTGTGTATTAGAATTTTGATGTTGTGAAATCAATAGTAAGTAAACACATTGTGAGTAGTCGATACCCTTTAAAGTAAAGTAACATGTTGCGCTCTATTCGAGGTGAAGTATGATTGAACTAGGTGAAACTAATATCAATATCCCAACAATTCTAACTAGCTCGAAAAAAGATAGGGTGGTAGTTTCAATGCATGATAACAAATTGGCACAGAATTTAACGAATAAAAATGTCAGCAAGAGCCCCTCAAAAAATAGCAAAAATTTCCAAAACATGGATTTCGCGTCTAGAAAAAAACCGAAGAATCGCATATAAAAAAGTGTTTTCTAAGAAAGATGAGCAATTAGTCCATTGCTCGGAGACAAAACACATATAATTTAATCTTATGTTTTCCAGTATAGAAAAAATTGGTCATTTCGCTTTAGAATTTCCTCAGGGAAACGGGAAAAATAGTTTTGTCGAAATGAAAAGTCGGCTTCATTCATTTGTAATTTATGAAAAAATATTGATTTTTATTTAGTTTTTTGCTTATATCTCCGCTTTTGTTGCTCTCAGAAAAAATTTTCGATTGCCGATCTCTTCGTCATCAAATGTCCTATAAAGCAGACACTTTTGCTAATCCATTATTGATTGATTTTTAATAACATGTTAATGGCACAAAAACGCGAAAAAAATTTTATATACCTATAAAATTGTCGATCAACGTAAAACAAATGCTAACGTGTTAATTGTTTAAAATGAAACTTGAAAGTGATATTACAAACTTTACAGTTGGTTTATCGAAATTTCGCTTCGATAAAAACATTGGATTTAAGGTGAGTAATGTTACAAAAAAAAACAAAAATAAAAAATTCACGTTTTGCCAGCAAAAAATTTTATTTTTGCAACTAAACCAATTGTAAATATCTGTCAATTTTGCATACTTTCTTACCAAACAAACGTGATTAAATTCGTCATGAAAAATCAGTAATTTGAGAAAAAAAAAAAAAAAAAAAAAAAAAAAAAAAAAAAAAAAAAAAAAAAAAAAAA